TAAACTCTAGTCTTAAGTTGTTTGAATATATTACAATTGTGAGTTTAGAATGTATTTTCTTTTACCTTATATTCTTATTTATTCTTATAAAACTCAAACTGAACTCTTTGTTATAGTTCTTTATTGAAAAGCAATTGCTTGATTATGATTATCACCTATTGTTAGATTTCTTGGATTTATTATTTATTCTATTTTCTAGTTTCTACTTGATTAGAATGAGACCTAGTTTCAATGTATTGACTCTTCTCTTTTCTTGTTCCTTACTCTTTTCTCTCCTCCCTTCTTTTCAATTTCCTGTATCTGACTGGAGAAGCATGCAGGCTTTGCCTTGGTGCATGGTCAGAGCATGGTCTAAGAACTGGTGGTTTTAATTCGTGCAACCGTTATGAGACAGCAAAGCAAGACGGAGTGGTCTGCAGCTAATTTTTTGTTCTTAGAGTCACAGATTTTGTGCTGCTATTATACTCTTCGTGCATAAGTATTTGATAGTTAATTGATTGTTTCTGTTCAATACTATTGCTTACAGTACAATGAAGATGACAAACGAAGAGAGATGGCTAAGAACTCTCTAGAAAGATATACTCATTACTACAAACGGTGGGCTACCAACCAATTGGTATGTTCAAATTTATGAAATTCCTGCAGAAAAGACATGATAGATGGCATTATTTTTGTAATTACCAATTTAATGAATTAGTAGTTGGCAATATATAGATTTTTTTTTCTTGTTCAGACCTTATAGGCTATTGTATTAAACTGGGTTGTTAATCAAGTGCTAATTTTGCCTTTTCCTTGATGAGAAAGGCCCTATCTTGAAACTTTTTTCATCCTTTTTTATTGATTGAATTTTATTTCGAATATGCCATTATTGAATATCATCTTCATTTAAACTTTTAGTTAATTTACATGCACCATTGTCATTTCTCTTCAGGCATTGTACTGATTATTGTTTTAGAGCTGTATTTTAGCTGGGCAAGTGTCTACTGTTTGCATGGCCTGGAAATTGTGTGCTTCTCATCAGGTTTGGTTTTATTTCGAAAGCCAAGCCTTTATTTAAGCCCAGTCCCGAAAGAAAAATTTATTATTATACTTTTTATATGATTACAGTCTTGTGTTTCACTCTGTGCAGAAGTTATAGTGTCTTAATAAAAGTGCTAAACATAATAAAATGAAGCCCCTTTACGCCAAAAAGAAAAATAAATAAAATAAAATGATAACTTTCAGATCTTGCGAGGACAGCTTTGAAAGACTAACCAAAAGCTAGGTCAGAGATTTAACTGGCCTAATATCCCATTCATTTTTCTTGCCATGCTTGAGGACATGGCCCTTGGTAATTTTAGTTGTATTTTTCCATCAAAAACTCCATGTAAGAAATAGGTGCGTGTTTAGTGATGCCATTCTTTGATTACATTGATAAGGCTAGAATGAGATAGGAAGAAAATAGTTTGTAGTTCCCCTTTCTCTATTGCTGTTAAAAAATAAAAGAAAAAGGGGTTTTTTCTAATCTGTGCCCTTAGAGCACATGTTAAAGGTGTAATAAATACACCTTTTTATCTTAAATTTGTATTGACCTTTAATTTATCAACTGTCCAATTACATTCATCCACTTGGCATCAGCTTTAAAATTAATGTCAGCTTTTATATTTTGCTATACACATTTATGACAAAATGGTACCCTTAACCTGTGTCCTAAGGCTTCTCTTTCTGGAAGTGCAGATGTTTTTCTGGGGGACAGTTGGAGTTATACACTAATAATTGTTGCCATGGTTGTTTTATATGATCCTGGCAGATAAAGAAAATATGTCTGTCAACATATATCATAATTCTTACTTAGCTATGTATATCTCCTTGTATTGCATCTATAGTGATTATGATTCACAATAGGATGGCTTATATTTCCTGCCATTTTTTTGTCTCTTAGACAGTGATGTTGCTTTTGATGGTTATTTTCTCTAGTAATATGCATGATGGAGTGTGTATGCCCAGTCCTCCAAACACAGAATACATCTTTGCTTTATTTGGTCTGCTTGGACTAGGAAGTTGTGTAGATTTTTATGAAATATGTTGTCCTCTTCTGAGACCATCTAAAAGTTTGAAATCCATTACAACAATCAGCGCTATCATGTCAAGCTCATATACTCAAGTTCATGTCTGCTTTATTGTGTTGGCTGACCCTTTTTTTTTTTTCTTTTTGGGATCCTTATTGGAAAAAATGTAAAATCCATCCTACATGGTTAACATAATAACATGTCAATTTACTTGAGAAAATGCTAATGGGTGTTCTTTCAACTTCACTTCGCTTGGTGCTGCAGTCTAGGCAGAAGGCATTAAAGGATCTACAGCAAATGCAGACTGTGCATGTGAGTAAGCTTCTTATAATTGGTGATTTCTTCAATAGTGATTTGTTGCCACAAAGATTGTTTCAAATTAGTTTGTCATGGATTGAAATGGAAACACAGTATAGAGCTGTAGATAACTCTGATGGTCTGATGTCTTTCTGATAGCAATAAATTGGTTGTAGACCATTTTACATTTACGGTAACCCACCTCTTGATAAATAAATAAATAAATAAATAAAATAACTAAGAATCCACATTTGTATTATGGCTGTGTTTCTTATGCTCCTTCCCTCTAAAGTGTAGCTTAGGGTGATTCATTGAAATGTCTTAAAGCTACAAAACCTGTGGAGCAAGTTTTTATTTTTCCCCCCAATAAGAGCCAGCTTATTATTTTGAAATCAACTGAGATTTTGGGAAAGATGAAAAGATCTTCAATTCAGCCCCTTCCGTACACAAAAGAAGTGTCTGCAGGGGCAGGGGATTACAACTAGAGAAGAGGAGAAAGTAGTGCACAGACTACAGAGAGGGAGAGAGAGAGAGAATCTATTTTTAATTTGCAGCTAATGGATATTAATAATATAAGTGTGTTTATGTAGCTTGCAAAGCTCAGTGACATACAATGCCAACCTCTTTCACAGTTGAAGTTCATCACTGAAGCCTGGTTGCAGGTAAATTTCAAAATTCCAAGTTCTTCATTGTAGACTCTTTGCCTATATGAAAATAACATATCCTTATTTCTGTGGCTCTGCTGCTCTAGATAATCGAATGTAGGAGAGTTCTAAAATGGACATACGCCTATGGATATTATTTACCAGAGCATGAAGCTGCAAAAATGCAGTTCTTTGAATACTTGCAAGGTATGTTCCTGCTGCTAGAAGCTATGGGTCTATGATGTCACGTGTCTGTTTAATCATCCTCTCTATGTCGTGCAGGTGAGGCTGAATCTGGATTGGAACGACTTCATCAATGTGCAGAGAAGGAGTTACAATATTACCTCACCGCAGAAGGCCAGTCAAAAGAGTTTAATGAGTTCCGCAAAAAACTTGCAGGACTAACCAGGTAATATTCATTTGAAATGTATTAACAACCTAAATTTTGTCTTTGGAACTCTTCATCTGGTAGAACTTTATATTATTCCATCCATTGCTTGATAAATAACTTGTGCCAAAGAGATTATGGATTTAGAAATTTAATGCTGGTTCTTAATCTTGTGATTTTCAATAACAACAGTGTGACGCGGAATTACTTTGAGAATTTAGTACAAGCTCTTGAGAATGGTTTATCGGATGTGGATTCCCATGGTGGTTGTAACAGGACAGATAGCTCCAAGAACAAAGGATGTGGAAGCAGTAAGGGTGGGAATGTCAAAGAGTTAACATCAAGTGATAGTGTTAGTAGAAATCTCAACAATCTAGGCTACTGGTCCTGTGAACATTGCACCTTTGCAAATATCAGTTCAGCCACCACCAGTGAGGTGTGCGACCAACCCCAGTAAATCTCAAGTGCTGTGTTATAGTTATGATGGCCAATAACATTTGAGTGTCAGCAGGAGAAGGAACTGTTTTTCCATTCCACATTCCAAGCATATGGCGTCTATCCTTTGATTGGCCCCAGCAAAAATTGAAATAAGAAACCTTTTTGTCTTGGCATCAACATTCCTGAGGTGCATAACATTTGTAATTGGCATTAATTGCTGATTTTTTATGATATTTTCTCAGGGAAAGGTACCTTCACCTTGTGTAGCATGTATATATCTGTTTAATGTACAGAGTAGTAAGTAAAGCATATCGGCCCCTGAACCAGTCGTGTGCGGATGATCAGCCCAAAAATCAAGGTTTGATATTCCACAACTGTGACGTTAAAAGGTTGATCTTCCACAAAAACAAGTTGAGGGACTGATAATACTTTTTCGCCTTTAATATATGAGAAAATGACACATTTAATTATGGCGGAAAATCAGTGAATTCCTTCGTGGGTTGAGAGTTTAGAACTCGGTGTTTGTTGAGGTTTTTATTATTATTATTATTTGTTGTTGAGGGACTGATAATACTTTTTCGCCTTTAATATATGAGAAAATGTGAATTCCTTCGTGGGTTGAGAGTTTAGAACTCGGTGTTTGTTGAGGTTTTTATTATTATTATTATTTGTTGTTGTTGTTGTTGTTGTTGTTGTTGTTGTTGTTGTTGTTGTTGTTGTTGTTGTTGTTTTTCTCTAACGCGGGTAACACTAGATTGGATCTGATGTGACTGAGATTATCACCAAAGGACTATAAACAATGTTTTTAAACTTGAACCGGAGGTCAAGTTGTTTTGATCTTTAATTGATGGTTTGAACAATTTAATTGATGGTTTGAACAATTTAATTGATAAAATTATTGAGTTGATCACAATATTATAAATAAATTATTATGCAAAATATTTCATGCAGTATTTGTTGGGTGTAGGTGGTTGAATTATTGTAAGAAACATCACAAGTTTGAGTGCCTATGATAACAAATTTTAACATAATTGTGATTTTAAAAATAAAATAAATATATTATAAAGCCAAAAAATTACAAATAAAAAGTTGTATCTAAAGTGAAAGAGGTTTTTTGAAACAAAGAGAACAAGTATTCAAATCTCATGGTTATCATTTATAATTTAGTTTAAAGTTTTGAGATTTTTATTAAATAAATAAAATTTTAAGCATTCATTGGCTCAAATATCATATTGTTTTGGCAAAGAATCAGAAAAAAAGTCTCAAAATTGCAAGTTCAAGCCCTGCGTGGGAGGCAAATCTTTTAAGACTTTATGCATAAGCATTAAATCATTTGATCAAACGGTTTACCAAGTTGAATAATTTTAGTGATTTTTATTGGTTTTAAATGATTTAACTATTTAAACGATTCAAGTTTTAATGATTACAAATGGTTTAACTATTTAAACAATATAAAAAGTGCACCCAAATCATTTATACTATTAAATATCGATTTAACTAATTTGACCGACCAATCAGGCCTGATATTCAAAACTTATGAGCTTTTATAAAATTTTTAAACCTAAAGAAGGAAGTAAAAAGGTGTATATAAATACACTAGAAAGGGACGGGCCCTTGGTGGCAAAAATTACTGTTTAGCCTCCCAACTTTCTAAATTTGAGCATAGATTTCCTCCTACTATCAAGTTATAAATTTAAGTTCCTACACATCCCTAGTCTATAGTTTTAATACTAATTTGGTGTTAAAATGTCACGTGCCCTCATGTGTCCATTACCCCTCCGTCAATTGACATGTTACACAACATGTCAGCAATTTTCCCACATAAGCTGCCATGTTGGATTGTTAAGAAATAAAACATAAAATTTTAAATATTAACTTATGAAATTACAACAATTGCCTATCTTCTACATCATCCATTCAATTTCAC